TGTACGAGGGGCTCGCTCGTTACCTGAAGTGCCCGTAGATGGAGTCGTCTGTCACCCGAGGCTCCACTGCATCTCTTCTGAAGATAATTTTATCAAAGTTGTGAAACTCTGATCTTATTTCGCGGATATTTGCGCTTGCGGCAGTACACTGTTCTCGTCTTGGCCATCTGTTCTATTTAACTAACAACAAAAAATACGTGGTCGTGAAGTCGTGAACCGAAGCCTTGTTACAGTGGGTGCGAGAACGTTTTGGAAACATCATTATGAATACGATTCGGCCCACGAACTCACTCTCACTTCTGCGGAAGGTGACGAACTTGATAAGATATCTGGACCTCGATCGTCTACAGCAAAATTTGCGTGAATGTTCTTTCTCTAAATGCGCTACGTTCAGGTTTTGTGTATTGCTACTCGATTTTGTGCGCGCATGTGTGTTTTGGCCGTTCCGTTTCCCGCGCTCGCGGCACTCCCACTTCCACGGACTGAGTTTTTCTGTGCGAACATTCTGTATAAGCGGACCGTATCGTTTAGACAGGTGGTAAAGGTTTAGCGACCACATCGCCTATATACAAAGATAATAATTGGTAAGGCTGCCTGTTGGCAAAAGCCCCCCACCGGCTTTCTTAATTGGATCGCGGTTACCTCTGCTGTTGCTTGCAGACGCTGACCCAATGACTTTGGGTAGTTTGATGGGACCTTATATATTACTTTGAAGGCTTCGTTGGGGTCCACAGGATGTCCGGAGGCAATCATGTAGGCAAGGATGGCGCTGTTGATGCTTCTGACTTTACCTTTGCTCAGCCATGCCGGCAGGTGCTCCCGTATACTTTTGGATAAGCACCCACTTGTGCGACCGATATAATCTGCTCCACAGAAGCAAGTAAATGAGTAGATACAGAAAGAAGTGATCTGAGCTGGCAGCTTATTCTTATCTTCGCCGTGTAAGACCGGATTGGTTGAGAATATTACCCGAACTTTCGCTGCTGGGAAAGTTCTTGATACGGTTTGCTTGAGGCGCCTACGTAAGAGTTCGCTTGCCCATCTCCCTGAAAGGGCACCTTGACGAATAGGGCCTTCTTTTCTACAGTGGGTGTAGTGGGTTTCGTTTCTCTCTTCATCATATTTTTTATGATGAATCTGTCCGGCTATCCGTTCTCTCGAAGCAGTTCTTGGATTTTCTGGAGCTCTATCTCAATAGTATCTGCCGAGCAGATTTTTCTGGCTCTTTGCGTTGAGCAGCGGACTAAGTTACGCTTCTGTTTGATAGGTACAAAACTGTTAATGTTTGCTTACTGTCTGGATCAGGTTTTCTTTCGATAAAGGCT